ATGCACCAACTTCTTGCGTTCCCCGCGTCTAGGAAGCTCGCCCATATCGCCGTTGCTTTACCCTATACTAAGCACTAAGATACCCAATAAGCCATTGGATTGATGTACGGAAGAGCGTTTACGGCTAGGGTACGGAACTTTGTTCTTTTGCAAAGTCTTATGCTTGAGCATAACGACCAAACACTTTCTTTTGCCGACACACGCTGACGTGAGAGTAGGGTATCCACCCGTCGTTGCATCCATCGTGCTGTAGAAACTCTCCTCGTCGAACAAGGTCAAAGCAAGTCAATAGTTGGGGCATCTTCTAGGGCACCATATAGGACCAATGCTGGGTCACAAAGACAAACCGATAGTCCAGCTCCACGTTATCGCTGCCGGAGAGAAAGCAACTGCGAGCCCCGGCAAGCTCTGGTGGCCCCTGAAGGTCCACAAGTTGGCAGCATGCAATGTGACGTTTGATGAATCCAACGTGATATAAAAGAGTTACCATTGCCGCTCTTCTCGTCAACATTTGGACGCATCGATATCTCTTCCATTACTTGGATACCTCACCCCAGAGACTCTATTCATCTACTATCACCCATCTTCCGAGGACTAGCCAAGATGTCAGTCATCGGCCAGGAATACAAGAATGTCCCTACGCTGGGAATGAATGCCTACGCGGCGCCCTCCCTGTTTCAACCGCACAAGGCTCGTCAAGCCATTCGCGATGCCCACGAGAAGAAGATCCCCCCATTGATGTGCTATTATGCTGGCCTCAGTTCTCTCCCCATCACACGCTTCCTTGCCCCTATGGGATACGACGCAGTTTGGATTGACTGGGAGCATACGTCCTGTAACGTCGAGACCATGACATCGGTAAGTCATCGGCTGGAACGACAACTCGCTGTGCCGAACTTCACTGATCAACGGGGGATAGATGGTCCACGAAGCCATCTTCATGAGCCAGGGACGAACCATCCCATGGGTTCGGTAGGTGTTCCCATAAACACCTCGCGACAGTGAAGCTAGTGCTGACATGCATCCCGCAGTGTTCCCGGCCACGACCACGCCGCCATCGGCTATGCCCTCGACTGCGGTGCCAGCGTCGTCATCCCCCAGGTCGAGACGGTAGAGGAGGCCAAGCACGTCCTGTCCGCAGCCAAGTACGGCACCAAGCAGCGCGGCACACGCTCTGCTCCCCCCTTCCGCCTCATCCCCTTCCTCACCGACACCCCCTACGATCCCAACCGCGACATCCACAAGTGCGTCAACGACCAGGCCGCCATCATGATCCAGATTGAGTCCGCCGAGGGCGTGCGCAACCTCGACGCGATCCTCACAGAGTGCCCCGACATCGACGTCGTCTGGTTCGGCACGCTCGACTGCCGCGTCAGCATGAACCTCGAGGCCAAGATGGGCGGCATGGGCGCCGATGAGCCCGAGTGGCTCGAGATCTCGAAGCTCTTCTTCGATACGATCGACAAGCATGACAAGCCGTATGCTGGCTTCGCGTTCTGCGCGCCGCCGTACGGAAGCCCCGAGAAGCTTCGGGAGGCGGCGAAGAGGATGAGTCTTATTTCCATGTCGGCTGATGTGCTTCACCTCGGTGCGTTGGCTCAGGATTTGATGGTTGCTCGGGAGACTATTGGTCCCGTTGGTCGGGAGAACGGCAACGGGACGAATGGAAAGGAGGCGGAGAAGACTGAGGAGGTGAACGGTAAGGCGTAGAGATGCCCATTTTAACGAGTTCATGATCTGAAACCTTCTGTAGGTATACCCTTGAGAGAGAAAGAATAGATTCTTTGCGATTTGAAGGTTTTGTGGAAGCTGGAGACCTGCGGTGATGTGTTCTTAGACTGAGCGAGAATCTTGGATCACGGATGATGCCACTCATACTACACCAGAATTCCCAGCCATGTTGATGATGCCAAAAGTTCCAAGCTGCAATTTCGAATGTTTGAGTAACTTGGTTATAAATGACAAATCGCCCCTCACGATTATTCTCCTTTCGCTACCACAGACAATAGGCGGAGGAGGTGTGCGCGAGAAATCTACAGGAGGCTAACTGACGCGGCGGTTATAGCAGCTGTAGATCCCGGAAGTCGATGAAATGGGTTCGCAGAACTACGATAGGCCTAAAAGTAGTCTCGTTGCTCCCCAGGTCATCCTCGGCTGTTTATTTATACTAGTAGTCTGGCCCGCTGAGAGTCAGAAGTGATGGCTAATCTTCAAGACACAGTTCGAGTATCTAGAAAAGGGTTCCGATTCAGGGGCTTGACATCCACGAGCCTGACCCCGTGCATGAAAGCATTTACGAAGGCTTGGCCGAATCAGACGACGAATCCACACAGTTCGTGCTGTTCCCTTCCTTCTGTCTCTCTCTTTACTGTCCTATTTATAGTGAGGCAGGCGAAAACTTTTACAACAGCCTTGATACATGCAGAGGTCTAAGTGAAGTGTCCTGACTCCTATATTATCTATTGATTGTCCGATACTGCTGTTAACATAGATCCTACTTATGCTGCAATCATGGCGTCTCGGCTAGCTTGAGCCAGAATGGTCGCATTTTATTCCTTGAAAACCGATATGCCAAGGGTGAGCCTTTTATTAGTCTCTCTTCACACAAATGTAGCAAATTACCACCTTGAGGAAGCCTCTTGAACATCGACATGGCCGACGATGCCGACCTGGGAGGAGGTGCCAAGCTGTTGAGCCAACGATGAGTCACAAAAGTGATTTATTGACACAGTCTTTGACTAAAGTATTCGAATTCCGTGCCCAGCTGCCGTTTTCCCCGGGGCGGGACTCCCTCTGATTTTAGGTATTTAGATGATAGAATGCACGACTGGATGCTGGTGTCAGCTGTGATTACTAATGTGACTCGAAGCTGGGCGAAACCCCGCCACCAGCGGCGTCATTATCATGTGACTCTATTGATAAGCCCCGCGCTCGCCTTATCGTCCGGGGTTCATGATTTTTTTTTTTTCCCCTCGATGAACAACCCCGCCATACACCGAGCCCAAATTGCCCAAGAGAGCCCCTTGTCGCCTCGTTTTGCCAGACCTTTTCTCTCCTCGACATAGACAAGGACTTAGGCAGTGAGGGCAAAAAGAGACGCCAAAATGAACATGAATAGCACCCACGCCACGATTCTCTGCTGCAACTGCGGCGCTCCCATCGACGGAACGACCGCCGCCAACGCGCTCTGCTTCGACTGCATCAAGTTGACTGTCGACATCTCCCAGGGCGTCCAGCGCGAAGCCACCCTCAACTACTGCAGAGATTGCGAACGCTGGCTGCTGCCGCCCAGCAGTTGGATCGTCGCCGCCCCCGAGTCCCGCGAACTCCTCGCCCTCTGCCTCAAGAAGCTAAAGGGCCTGAACAAGATACGCATCATCGACGCCTCCTTTGTGTGGACGGAACCCCATTCGAGACGAGTCAAGGTCAAGATTACGATCCAGGACGAGGTCCAGAGCGGCGTCCTTCTCCAGCAGGCCTTTGAGGCGGTTTACATCGTCGCATACCAGCAATGTCCCGACTGCGCAAAGTCCTACACGGCCAACGTGTGGCGCGCCTCCGTCCAGGTCCGGCAAAAGGTCCTGCATAAGAGGACGTTCCTCTACCTCGAGCAGTTGATTATGAAGCACGGTGCACACAGAGATACCCTCAACATTAAGGAAGCAAAGGACGGAATCGATTTCTTCTTTTCGGCGAGGAATCAGGCTGAAAAGTTCTGTGATTTCCTCAACTCCGTTGTGCCTTGCACGGTCAAGAAGTCGCAGGAGCTCATCTCGCAGGATATCCACACATCGACAAAATCTTTCAAGTTCACCTTTTCAGTCGAACTGATCCCTATTTGCCGTGACGATCTTGTGGCTCTGCCCATCAAGCTGGCCCGAGCATCCGGCAACATTTCCCCCCTCGTCATCTGCCACAAGATCGGAACCGCAGTATACCTTTTCGACCCCAACACCCTTCAGACCGCAGATGTCAGCGCTCCTATCTACTGGCGTGCACCGTTCCGTTCCCTCGCCGACGTCAAGTCACTTGTTGAGTTTATCGTCATGGACATCGAGCCGACGGGCATCACAAAGGGCAAGTGGCATCTCGCAGAGGTGCAAGTAGCCCGTGCCTCCGACCTGGGCTCAAACGACAAGACCTACTTTGCGAGAACACACTTGGGCGGCCTGCTGCACGCCGGCGACTCGGTCTTGGGCTACATGCTCACGGGCACTAACTTCAACAACGAGGAGTTTGACGCCATTGAAGAGTCGCACGCCTACGGCTCGACGATACCCGACGTCATCCTCGTCAAGAAGCACTACCCCAACAGAAGAAAGCACAAGAACCGTAACTGGAAGCTCAAGCGCATGGCCAAGGACGAGGGTGAGTTGCTGCCCAAGCAGGCTGACCAGGACCGCATGAACGAGGACTACGAGCAATTCTTGCGCGATGTCGAGGAGGACGACGAGCTGCGCGCGACGATGGCGCTGTACAAGTCACAACAGCCGCAGAACATCGATCCGGACGCCATGAGCATCGCCGAGACCGAGGGCGACGAGGGTGCTCCGAGGGTGGACATGGATGAACTGCTTGACGACATGGACGAACTCCAGATTCAGGATTAAGCGTCAGGTGTGGATGTCCGTCTTCCGAAAGGTGAAGGGGAGGGGCGTGTCGTCCATGGACGGACGGGACAAAGTTGGGACGTGTCTCTGTCGCGGTCCCCGACGTTTGGTGGCCCCGGGACGGTGTTAAGGTTAAGTGGCCGTCTGCGAGGAGGAAATTTGTTTCCTTACGAGATGGTACGTGGACACGTTTGGTTTCTTGGGCAATAGAGGAAGAGAGTGGAGGTATCTCTCTCTCAGAAAATGAATGGGATGGTTTCAAGGATGGGGTGGCAAGGCGTGTATGCATCATCAGATACCTTTGACTGAGACTGCGACGCAAGTGAAAAAGGGCGTTTGCGTTTGTCGTTAGACAAAAAAAGACTACACTACCAGATCACCACGTGGCTTATGCGTCCGCCTTGTCTTGTTGCGTTTCTCTGCAGTGTGTTCCTCTCTGCCGTTCAACCGCCGCATCTCACGATCCCATCGCCGTTAAGCAAGGATCCAGTCTCAGAGCTGTCGGCGATGTGCCATTTCAACTTGTCCGAGCTTCTCTTCATGCACTCTTCTTGCCCTCTCTACGCTCTGTGCTCAGCACTCCCCCAGGTCCCAGTGATAGGCAACGTCGTACGTGCGTCCAGCAGCAACTGGTCGCACGGCCCTCGACAGGGGCTCCCCCAACTTATACCATTCACACCCTACCCTCTGGTGTTTATTCGTACAACAGCACATCGACCTTCCCATCAACAGTTGTTCGTCCGTGCTCTTCTCCCTCAGTTACCCAAAGAGGGTGCCGACTGTCTGGGACTGCCGACTTCACTGTTTCTAATCGCCGACTCCAGCGGGCTTAAGCACCCAAGTCACACCATAAACTCGGCACCTCCAGACCCCTACCTTAGTCATGAGCCTTACGAGCCCATGGCCTGTCCGTCCGTCTGTCTGTCTGTTCATTCGAGAGACGGAGAGCCTCCCCTACCCCCATCCAGCACTGGACACTCTTGGGCCCGCGAAACCGGCCGCCGCCGACTCTAGGAGCCACGCCCTCTGAGGCTCTGCCTGGGTACCAGAGACGGCGTCGTTGTTTCAACCTTCTACGAAACCGACGTGGTCCGTCCTTCCTCATCCTACCCTCAGGCTTCCCCAGAGTCTCTCCAAGGGGCCGTTCAGACTCAGCCTTACCCTCCCCGACCCCGGGCCCGAGTCCCAGACAGCCTCCAGGCGCTGTCGGTTAAGCGGGTGTAAGAGACCTGTCGGCACCTTCCTTTCCCCAGACTTTGCACCACTCAGACAATAGACGTGTCCGTCACACCCATGGAGGCTCTACTCACACATACACACCCCATCCATCATGAGGTAAGCCTCCACCTCCACCGTTTCCGACCACCAACTTTCGCTGGCGACATTGATGAGACGATGGAGGGAGGGAGGCAGCGGGATGCCGACGGGGACCTGAATGTCGGCGCCGCACCGCACGGATTTACAGTTTCCCTGGGGTTTGTCATGATGGTGGGGAGGGTGTACGTCGTGGTCAACGTTTTGTTTCTACCTTGCTCACTCACAGGTCAAGGCGGACTCCGACGGACGGGAGGCTCAGTCTCTCACCCACACGGCGACGGGCGACGTCGGCTTGGCTTACTCCATTTGGCCGGGGTGACCTCGGCGAGCGGGCAGAAGTGGGAGTGGAGACCGCCCGTGTGCGCTCGCAACAATGGGTGTTGCCTTTTTGTTTTTTTTGTTTTTGTTTTGCGTTTGAGGCTTTTGGAGATCGGGGTTGCTGCCATCTGATCGAGATGCTGTAGACGGGGACTTTGTTTGCTTGGTTTCTTGGACGCCGGTGAAGGTTGGCGCGGCGCGGTGCTTTTTGGCGATGACTACGGTTTCGTGTGAGTAGGAGTAGTGACATGTCATGGGAGGAATTCTCATTCATGGCTTGTGTCTATGAGCTTGGGCCGGTATTGTCGAGTTAGCAGGTTCGCCGAGGTTGCGTTGTGGTGAGCTCAGTGTAAGTTGGTGTGAGTTGAGGCCGAGGCTGGAGAGCTGTTGATGAGGTGGTCAAGATCGCAGCCACGGCCGACAAGGATCTCTACACAATGACGACGTATTGCAAACTACCAATGGAAGGTCGTTCCGAGCCTAGATTGCTGCAATTACGCACTCCCTCACATGCTCTTGCGTACTTTCTAACGGTAAAGTATTTATATTAGCGCCGGCTATTTTAACGACTTCATTTCGAGCAGCTTCTTCGTCCGAGTTTCCAAGGGACCATTTCATCATATCTTTCATGCCAAGTGAATAGATCGCCAAGTCAAGAGCTCTCCAAGTGTGTAGCTCGTCGCGGAGCCGAGGGTGGTGTAGAGGAAGCATTCGCATTCGCTCCGGTTATGCAGTAATATACTTCGAAGTCCAAAGGGTCTTCTTCACGCTGGTGAGTACAGACGACACGCATCATCCTGCCTGCATACTACTGCCGGCTTCTCAGCTGTGGATAGCTTCGTCCCGTAGAGGTAGACACACAAAGAAACGTCATTTCGTCTTTTCTTTTCATGCCAAGATGCCAGACATATTGCCCACCTCAGCCGTCAAAGATGGTGACCCAGTAACTCTCGCATTCGTAGTCCGGCAAGTCGGCCATAGATGCCCACCAGTGACACACACCGCAACATCCCGAGGCTGCCGGTCCATAGGGCTCTCGCGCTTTTCATCTTATGATTTTTGAAAGTCACATTTTATGCTTCCCATTACCAGTAACATAAGCGGCGATAACTGTTGAACGCCGAACATAAGCACACACCCCACCCCTCTCCTTCATTAGAAGATCTTCCCGAGCACCCTCGCAACATCACCTGCCGGCTTCGCAGCCGAGCCAGCCTCGCTTTTCCTATCCGCCAGGGGTATCTGCTTAAACACCGTCCGCCTCTTGTCCAGCTTCTCGTCCGCCGCCGGTGCCGCCGCCGCACCACCATCGACAGAGGCCCCCGCTTCCGTCGTCGACGCAGCCGCCTTGCCGCGCTTCTCCCTCGTCGCAGCAATACCATCCAACACCCTGGCCCTCTCCACGTTGCGCACAAACTCCTTGTTCTCCTTGCTCGCTTTGCTAATCTCGGCCCGCATCCTGCTCGTCCGCTCCGCGTTCTCGGCCGTGATCTGCTCCGTCAGGTGGCGCCACTTGAACCCCTTGAGGTACTTTAGCGTCCAGATGTCGTCGTGGTAGTACGACCCCTTCTTGCCGCCAATGGTCCGCGCGTTCAGCAGCTCGCAGACGGCTTTGGCGTCCTTTTTCCGCATGAACTCGACCCAGCCCTCCGTGTAGGACTTCTTCTTGTTGCCGCCGGCCTTGACGCGGCGCGCGTGCGCGGTCGGGTCCTCGGGCGCGAGGAAGATGCGGTTGATCTTGCCGTAGGGCTCGAGGAGGGAACGCAGCTTCTGGGGCTTCATGAAGGGCGGGATGCGGGAGATGTAGACGACGCCGGATTTCTTGATGGCTTCTTCCGTCGCGACAAGGTTCTTTTTCGTGAGGGGTTTGGAGACATCGGGCAGGTCTAGCTTTGATGCCGAGCTTGAGGACTTTTTCTTGGTTGAGGTTGAGGCTTCCGCATCTTCGTCGGAATCTTCTTCGTCGTCGTCCCTCGCGGCGTCTTCGGCGTCCTTTGTGACGTTCTGCTCCTCGTCGCTGAAGTCGTCCTCGTCCTCGCTGTCGACTTTGCGCCTCTTGGCACTGCGGCCTCCTTTGCGCAGCTCCTCAGCCTCGGAGTCGTAGCCCTGGTCGAGGTCGTCGTCGCTCTCGTCTGCGTCGAGAAACTTGTTTCGTTTTTCGGGAGCCATAGCGGCTTGCTGGGACTTAGAATGGATAAACGGTGGGTCCTCAAAGTATTGGAATGCTAGCAACGGCAAGATACAATTTCCCTACTGCAGCCTTGTCGGTAGCCTCGTGGTCGGCGGTAATGCAACTGTCGTTGTACGGTATCCAAGCAAAAGTCCGCGATCCCAGGGCGCGCGGTCTGTAAAAAAATTAGAGCGGGTCTTATCGCCAATATCTTATCGGCGGTGGTACTGATTGATTACATCATCCCCTTATCTTACCGCGTTCCCCACAAGCGCGGTCCGGCAGGAGGTCACAGGTGCGGCGGTTGCCCCTCCATGCCATTGCCCCTCCACCTGCCCCTCAGTGAGCTCACGATTCATGAAGGGGGATATCTAAGCTGCGAATTGCCTCCTGATCAACAACTGTGAACTGATTCCCTTTTTCTCATTCATAGTCTTCTCTCTTCAACTTGAACCTTTTGATACCCCCGTGAAGAAGAGAATCAACTAAACATGTCTGTCGAAGTCCTCAAGACCATCTCTCCCACCACCAATGAGGCCATCCTCACCCGCAACGGCGTCTCCCAGGCCGACTTAGATGAGCTTCCCAACACCGCCACCAAGGCTTTCGAGTCATGGAGCAAGACCTCGCTGGCCGACCGCAAGACCATCGTCAAGAAGGCTCTGAGCCTCCTCCTCGAGCAAAAGGATGACCTCGCCCAAGAGCTTACCGTCCAGATGGGCCGCCCTTGTGCCTACACTGGCGTCGAAATCGCCACGGCGGTGAAGCGCGGCGAGTACCTCCTCAAGATTGCCGATGACGTCCTCAAGGACACCGACGGCGAGGCTGAGAAGGGATTCAAGCGCTTCATTCGCAAGGTTCCCGTTGGCCCGGTCCTCGTCCTCTTTGCCTGGAATGTGGGTTCTCTTTTGTCTCCTACTTTTCGTGGCTTCTCCCGTTACGTGGTGTCCGCAGCACGTTCAATGTTTCCATTGCTGTGAGACAAACGCGCAAACTGCTGAGCCACCACCACCGCGATACCGCTGTCTCTCTTACTGACATCACACGCCCAGTACCCTTACCTCATTCTGGTCAACTCGCTCATTCCCGCGCTATTGTCTGGCAACACCGTCATCTTGAAGCCCTCACCGCAGACTCCGACAATTGTGGAGCGCGTGGCCAAGGTGTTTGAGGAGGCCGGTCTCCCGGCCGGCGTGCTGCAGTACTTCCACTGCGGCTCTCCCGTCATGATTGAGTCCATCGTGCGTAACCCCAAGGTGAAGCTCGTTGCCTTCACCGGCTCCGTGGCCGGTGGTCTGGCCGTGCAGCAGGCTGCGTCAGACCGTGTCGTCAACGTCGGTTTGGAGTTGGGAGGAAAGGACCCGGCCTACATCCGTAGCGATGTAGACATTGACTGGGCTGCGGCCGAGATCGTCGACGGCGCCGTCTTCAACTCGGGACAGAGCTGCTGCTCCGTCGAGAGGGTGTATGTTGACGACAAGATCCACGATGCTTTTGTCGAAGCCGTCCAGAAGGTTCTCAAGGGGTACGTGCTCGGAGACCCGTTTGACAAGGGCACGCACGTTGGCCCCGTCATCTCAAAGCGTTCCCAGGAAGCCATTGAGTCGCATATCAAGGACGCCCTCTCCAAGGGCGCCACTGACGCAACCCCCGAGAACGAGTCCTTCAGCAACCCCCCGCCCAAGGGCAACTTTGTCAAGCCCACACTTCTCACGGGCGTGGACCACTCGATGACCGTCATGACGGAGGAGACGTTTGGACCGGTGATTCCCGTCCAGCGGGTCAAGAGTGACGAGGAGGCTGTCAAGCTCATGAACGACAGCGAGTTCGGCCTGACGGCCAGCATCTGGACCAAGGACACGGACCGCGGCTATGAGCTCGCGGACCAGGTCGAAGCAGGAACCGTCTTCGTTAACCGATGCGATTACCCCAGCCCAGTGAGTATACCCTACAAGCAACAAACATGCCATTCCTTATCCTGGGCGATCATCCGACCTGTATTCTGCCCGCTCCGATCACTATCCTCCGTGTTTGTTTGTCTACGGTCCCCACCCTTTCCCTCTTCCTTAGCCCGATGCTCCCCCCCGCCCCGAACGCTAGAGTTGGCAAAGTGTTAGGAAGTTCCGACTCGGAGCGGGTAGCCGCATTTCATCTTCCTTTTCTTTTGTTGTTTTATCTGCCTGCCGGCTTTCGCAAACTCTATACACTCGCCAGTCGTTTTTGTTTTCCCACCGGCCTGCAAGCCATCTTCGTCATCAAGCCACCGCCATCATCCTTCCCCTCAGAGTCTTCGGTACTGACAACTCATTTAGGACCTAGCGTGGACGGGTTGGAAGAACTCCGGCAAGGGGCAGACCCTAAGCCGCTTCGGCTACGATCAGTTTGTCAAGCTCAAGAGCTACCACTTGAAGGACTACCCCAAATGAGCGGTAGGACCGTAGCCTTCCTCCTCGCGTGAGCACGCCTTGCGCCCGCTGTCACTGGCTTCTCCCGTGTCATGTGGGAAAGCTTGGGTGAGAAGGAGGAGGAGGGGTGTTGGTGATGTTGTTAGGATGGTGTTTTGCCCGGTGAAGAGCAGAGATCGCGGCGGCGGGATATGCCAGGCGGAGGAGGCTCTATCTAGTCAGTACTGTCTCTGTCAGGAACCTGAATCCCGGGTCCCAAGGCTCTACTGCTAAACTCGAGCCCACGTCAGAGAAGACGGCGTTTCTTCAGCGCACAGGCTGCCGCTTCTCTGGTGGACACTAGCATGGTGTAGTCTTCCTTGACAAGTTGTTGAAGCAGTGGGCGGCCGGATGTCTGTGTCATTGTTAGGCTGAGCCAGAGCATTGGAGAGAGATGCGCGATGGAGAAGTGGATATGGCACGATCACACGATATTGTTAACGCTTGAAAATCAAAGATACCTCTTATTTTGTTACTCTCACCTCACCTCATCTTACCTCACTCGGTTGACCAGTACCAAGCCAAGGAGCAGACGGAACTACCCATGATAAACCTGCTATGTGACGTGACTACTAGTCAAACTGTTTTGAAGCAAAAGCTGGCACCAAGCTAAAGCAATGGCATGATCAACACGACCCGCCGACAGCGTCAAGTTGTCAGTGTCACTCACGTCGACGGCGTTCGCTATACGCTCAGATGGCTCACGTTGGGTTGGAATCATGCCACTAAGTGAATGGTAGTCGTGATCCGTGTGTCCACGCACGATCGTTCTACCTCTCTCCTTGCATCCCCGACGAGCTGGTACGCTAATTCCCCCTCGTGTCCTCTCTGCATCTATCTTCCATTTCCGACGCCGGCCTCCGTGATTCCCACGGCCGCGCTCGGAACATGCGGTGTCGAAGACGGCAGGTAGGGTAGTAGATCACTGCAGCGTGGCAGCGTGGCATGGGCATGGCGATTCCGAGACCGAGACTGTGAGTGGTCAGTTTGCGACGTGATGCGATGCGTTTGTGCGTTTGCATGCCGATTGTGTATCCGCTTTTGGCATCTTCACACGTTTTCTCTCTCCCTCTTCTCTTTTGCTGCGTGGAGGAGGCGTGTGCAGCAGCAGCAGCAGCAGCAGCAGCAGTCCGAGGGCCGACAAACGGGGGACGTGTCATCATTCCCTTTGGTCTCCCTTGCATGGCGGATACAACCATACGCACGCATACGGATACAGAAAATAAGCTCAAGCTCGACACGGAAACGGCGCGGAGAAAGAAAGCATTTTTTTCGTCTCGTTATCGCAACCGGGGTTGCTCCCACCCGTGCGGTGTCCTGTCTGCTGGCTTTCCTCATGAGACGAACGACATCTTACGGGGCTAGGCCCTGTTGTAATGTGAGAAACTCTACGAGTCTGAGTAAGTCACCAGAGAGTTATGACTATGAGTAATGCCATTCGAGATTGAACTGTTACAAGGTTAACAGCGCAGAAATAAAGTGTAAATACAGCCAAGACAGCTCAGCATCGAAACAACCATGCAAGACCCTTGAAATCCGGAAACCGCGAGTGCAAGATCTACCGAAAAAGCCTCGTGAAGCTTTTTTTTCTTTCCCTTCCTTACTGCGGTACGTCGTCTCGTCGCATTCAGACTGAAAAGTGACAGAGTCCTGTTTAGATCAACGTTGGAATTAAATTGTGACATGTATGGTGTGTGAATTACGACTCCGGAAGCGTCTTACAATATGTTTGAAGGAGGCAAAATAATCTCGGAGGCGAAAAACTACAGAGAAAGAGGATATGGAGGTTCGTTCCGACTCGTGCGAGACACATCCCGTAGGAAAGCTTGACAATGTGGCCAATCTCTTAAGTCTATCCCGTTTCCCATTGCGGACAGTATACGATAACGACACCTTTCACGTTATGGGCTCTCTTAAAATTCTGGAAGCAAACATGAACGTTGGGCAAGAGAAGCGTGCGTGCGGGCGGCCGCGCTCGCGTGGGATATCGTCGAGTTTAAACAATGAAAAAGCTTGCGTGGCAATGGCCGAGAACATCTCGAGGGGCGATTCCAGGATTCGCCTTCAGAGTGTTTTGTTAAAACCCTTTCGGAATTGTGTCTCATTGCGGACATGTACGAAACAACAAGAAGACCGCATGAGGCATACTGTTATCGTTGCGGAAACATAACGACTTTTTTCCTTCCTCTTCTACGCCGCAATAAAACCGTCGACTTGCTCGAATGCGGCCGGAGAGGGTAGGAGGGTGACGGTGATGGAGGCAATCGTCGGCCGCTGGGGAGGCGAAAAAGAAGAGCGGGAAGTGGGAGGGCGTGTCGTTCGTATGCAGCAAAGAGTGGTGATGGGGATACCTCGGAAGGTTTCAGTCGTTTCCCTGATGGTTTTCCTCCGTACGGACGCAGTGGCACACACGAGTTTCGGTACTACAGAGCGGGATGGGCGGATGGGAGTAGTCGCGTAGTGAAGCAAGGCGAGAGATAGTGTAGGAGAAAGAAAACGAGAATTTGCCCTGCTTTCGTGCTGCGCCCCGACGTTGGACTCTTGAAACTTTCCGCAAACGGAATATACGATGATTTTGATGCTGGTGTTTGCCAAGTTTGAGAGTGCATCGTACACTAACTACCGCAGCCATAGGAGAGAGCCGCACGATGAGAGGAAAAAACTGCCGGTTGGGTTCATTTGGCTTTTCTTTGGAGAGCTTGGCAAGTCATCAAAGCCAAGAGCAACTGCCGCGTTCAGCCATGTTGGTGGCTACTTTTGAGGCTATCTTGGGTCGGTGATCCGTCCGTGCTTGCTTGGTGTAGTTTTGTCGATGTCGATATCGATGCATCGGGCAAGATGTCAAGATAGTCGACCGTGACGGGTGTGTGTGCTGTCTCCACTATCGAACCGAATTGGCCAATGACTTTGGCGGTGAGTGGTGGGGCCGTTCCGGAGCCGGTGATTCTCGGTGGTGAGGGGTTCAGTGGTCACGGGGGTGTGTGGTGGAAGGAGCGAAGGAGAGGAGAGTGCTGATCTGGAGAAAGAGCCACCAGACGGGACGCTTAGTTAAGCCACCGGAGGCCAGTGCTGAGCGGGAAGGGTGGGGCCTCGGCTCTCCAGGTACATAGTGTAGTCTTGGGGGCAGCCGCCATCTTTCGTAGCGTGCAATTCTCTGTGCGACGTGCCTTGCACCACGCCTAGTTGGTCGGTTTACTGGCTTGACTGGTGCCAATTCGCTGTCAGGGAGGCTCACGAGGCTCTGTCAGTCAGTAGGTACCCTACTCTGAGGTGTCACTCTGTACCTTACTGAAGCTGGCGATGGCTTCAAGGACCGCACATCCGTTGACTGTCGAGTCTGTTAGGTAAGCTGGGCTACACGCCGCTCTCTCACGAACTGGCCCAAACTCTACCAGCCTATCAACCCATCTATCCATCTGTGTACTCTAGCTATTACTATCTCTATCCAAGCTAGCTAGCTCCTCAGATCACAGATCACAGGTCCCAAAAAGATCACACACCCCTCTCCACCACTCTTCACGGGTATCCACCCTCGCTCTCCCTTCGCTTCGGCCGTAACTCAGCTGCCCTGGTAGGGCACTTGATCTGGAAAGCGGTGCCTCCGTGACGCCGTCGCCTGCCTCTGCCGCGTCCTCCATCTGTGATCCGTCATCCCCTCCCCTCTCTTGATCTCCCCTCTTTCCAGCTGGGTAGTCCGAGCAAGTCCCGCTGTGGCACACTGAAGCTTGCGGACGCTAACGAACAGTCGGGTTCGATCCAATGGAAATGGTTTGCAGCCACCAGGGGGGAGGGGGTTTTCTTCTCTTGCAGCAGATCACGGATCGTCGAGACCTGGGCTGGGCTGGCGGACACGGCGTCGACGAGGCGAGCTGCCAAACCCTTGCCCTGGGACGCGCGAGAGAGAGAGATAGAGAGAGGGAGCCCAGCCAGCTGGCAAGCCTGGCAGGGCCTACGGAGTTTACACTACACTACTAGGTAGGTATATGGATCTGAGCAGGGGTTGATACGTGCTGAAAAAGCCCCCGATCGGGAAGAGGAGTGGCCCCCTCCACTGTCAGCACTGACTGGCTTTGGAGGCTAGAGGGGCTTTTATTGGATCGAGTCTATTTGCTGGGTTAAATTGGCAAATGGCACATCATTTTACTGGTTTGGGGCTGAAAGAGGGATTCACGTCCCAAATCCCGATATTGAAGGGGGGAAAAGAGTATGCGAGGAAACAAGCAAACATGCTGAGACGAGCTGGGGATATTACCGATCCAGAGATTCCTCTCGGTTGACCCAGGTTGTCAGGCACGCCAGGCACAGGGCGAACGCGAAGGTGCAGGGGCAAGCGAGTGCAAAGCAAGCATTGCAGGCATTGCAATCCTTTTCCCGCCATGATCTGCCTATTGCAGATTGCTGGGCGAGATGAGAGTCTGCAGCCAAAGAGGGGGCCTGCAAGCTGCAATCTGCAAAGGCAGGGGGGGCAAGCATACGTTCCAAATCATTGGGAATCAATACCTACGGATATCCGTACGTACGGGTACCGCAGTATCGGAATAAGGAAAATCGTCAGCATCAAATCATCTGCATCATGGCTTCACCGCCATCATCATCATCATCATCAATCCATCATCTAGGTGTCACCATCCCCCAGCGGGGTTCGCAACCCACCAGCTCGGAACCAGTGAGACGCGTGAGAAGCTGTGAAAGTAAGTGCTTGCGTCTTGCTTGGCCCTGCAACTATCTCTACTCCTCACACACCCCTTTGGCTTCAGCTTCGTGCAGCTTTCGTGGAGCTTGCAAAAGCCGTGGTGCCTGACGGTTCCGCTCGTGTAACTCGATCGTATATGCAGTTTTGGTGATGTAGGTTACCTATCTCCATCCGTGTCTTCCGTGTGCAGCTGCCAGCACACGAGTACCGTCCACTAGGCAAGGTACGCCGCACGTCTGCGTTCGAACCGGTGATGGACGTTTGGTGATGAGGATCAACCGCCAACCAATTTAAGCCCCCATCCCTTCAGTCCGACGATGTGCAGCCCAGTCCGACAGCCCCAGTGCTCCTCCCCATGCTCCCCTCTCCCCCTCACCCACCTCTTTTTGGTGGGCGTACGCCTGCTGCAAGCCGAGAAGCCCACGAAGCCCTCGCAGACATGTCCCAAAGCGTCCATCCTTCTTCGTTTGCTAGACTCTTCGGGGTAGGGCGGCTTGGTGCTCACCGCCCACGGGACCTGGAACTTGGCAAGATCGGGCGTTAGTCCCATGCACGTTCGGGTCTTGTAGGCTGTAGGACTCTGTCAGGGCAAGCTGGCAAACGCGGATGTGGCGCGGGAAGACAGAGATCAGAGTGAGGGGAAAGCAGAGAAACAGACGCCACGACAAGCCCAACATGTCCAGTATCTGCTCTGTGCACTAAACATCTTACACTGAGGACTGAATGCTCTGTGCTTCTCTTCTGACACGCTGACAAGTCTCTACCAGCGCCCGTTTCCGCGCCTCTTTTGCTTGCCTGTGTCAGCATCTCTAAAACGGTTGAGGCTTGGAAGATGTTTCCAATGCCTCAAGCTATGGCTCTCTCTCACTCTCTCTGGTCATGTGTTCCAAACGAAACGTGAGTCCGTTCTAGTGCTCGGCGTTGAGGCTGTGGAGGCTTCACTTCTACGACGACTACGACTACGACAGAAATGCACCTCACCCCCCTCATCTGCTGTACGTGTACAGATTTGGTCCATTAATAGAAGCCAAGAGTCTTGGTATCATTGGTGAAGAAAACGATGATGATGCCTAGAGAAATGCAGCTAATGCATCAAGAACCACCCAAGAGTCGCAGAGTCCGGACTGGAAAAAGGGCTGCAAGAAGACCCAAGGAATGCCCAAAGTGTCAGGGGTCCTTGATTACATTCCTGCAAAATTGTTCAGCCCCAAAGGGCACGGGTTTGACCATTGTCGCAGGGGTTCCGCATCGCATTCCAGCTGCTGCGTACTGCGCTGGCGGAGACAGGGATGGTAATTAGTACGGATACAGGTGCTGGAATGTAAACCAGCCTCATTCGAAACTCTGCTGAAGAAAGAAGCGGTAAAGAATGGACAGCAATTGATATCCAGGTAATGAGAGTACGTGGAGTAGCAGGGCTGAGGGCTGGACTGATGCTACGCTGGAATGGCCGGATGAGATGGGATTGAGTGTTGGAATGCTTGAAGCTCCACGCTTCCCACGGCCAACGAGAGGAATGTCAGACTCAACCTCATACTCGGCCGGTTCACTACTTGGTAACACACGACGACATGTTTCTAAACCTGGAATCCGGTACAAATGTCTCGTCGATCGCGTGTCTGAAGCTCAAACCAGAGTGTCTAGTGTCTAGCGTACGATGATGCCGCCCGTATACAGACTCAGAAAAGAAGTACGGATGCAGAATACTAGGGAAACCGTTGCCGTACTACCACATCCGGGTTTCCCGTTACCACGCTCTGTGCCTCATGCCAACGATCATCGCGAGAGGCAACGAGTAACCTCAACTCTACGATCGCGATGCCGATAGCGACGGACATGAACGGAGTACGACCCTCCCAAACAAGACAGCTCGTAAAAAATCCACAAGAGAGTGAGAGCCCTATCGTCTCGTCGCGGCAGCCCTGGCCGCTGTCGCCTGAAGATGAAGGGAAAGCTCCGATGACAAACTCTACTGTGTCTCGAGAAGTTAGTGAAGAAGGTGGTGTAGCTTTCGGCATCACGCGGGCTTCTGCTGTAACCCTCTAACTCTCTCTCCCCCCTTGTCCCTATCTCCCAATGCCTTTCGAGTTTCCTAATCCATGCCCTGCCTTACCAATTCGTACCCATGTTCAATGATGCCACGCCCGACCCAATACAACTTTAAATCTGTTGTCGGCTTTTACGTGCGCAACACCAGGAGAAGATGCCTGCAACTTTTGGACTTGCCAGAGCTTACACCCCCCACTGCAGCTTAGGTTGGGCTGCAAGCAGTACATAGACACTCTCACACATCGCCGGCCTCCCCCCCCTCACCGGCCCCCGGACTCCGGCCGACTGGGTTGGCGGGCGTCGTACACACAGCGCGCGCGGCGGGGGAACCAGGGGTGTTTCGCGATCGCTTTTCTTTCTTTCTTTCTTTCTTTCCTTCTTACCTAATTACACAAATCTTCAATGCAGCAGCGGGCAAGGGCAAGGTAGAAATGATGAGGGACCCCGCGCGGGCACGACCGGAGACAGATCACGGGGGGCACGCCCTGCTTCGGCAGCGGCGGCGGCGGCGGCGGCGTGTCATCGGCCGGGGCAGTAGGTAGGGTTTCCCAAATGAGAGGAAGGATGACAGATTACCTACAGGCCAGCTCGATCTGGAATCCCGCGGACGCGGCGCGCGACGAGTAAGTCGGCGGGCGGGACCTGCATGGTGCCTTGCATATGTCGATGTGTTCCTGAAAAGGTCACGGTCATCTTCAACGCTCCTCCGCGATGCCTCA